CGCTGCCGCGGCGTCCTGGCAGGGTGTCAGGGTGTCGAGGTGTGCCGCGGGCAGGCGGCGTGTCGCAGGGCGTGTCACGAGGTGAAGCGCGGGGGCCGAGCACAGGGGGGAGCGACGCAGGGCGCGCGGGGCTGTCGCTGCGCGCACCCCTCCCCCGCCGCAGTCGCGGCCCTTCCGGAGAAGATGGCGGAGCGGGCGGAGATGTTCTCTCTGTCCACCTTCCACGCGCTGTCGCCGCCCGGCTGCAGGTACGCATCTCGGCGCCCCGGGCCTCCCCGTAGCCCCCACGGTGACCCAGGCCCCAGACCCCTCTCTGGTCCTGAGGCCTCTGATTCCTGCTCCGCATCCGTCCCCATCCCTTGGTTCAGGGTGTCTCCATTTTTGTCCCCCGCCGCCCAGTCCCCATGACCCCCCTCCTCCACTTCCTGCTGGGATGCTGAGCACCCAGCCTGGACAGCTGACGTGTCAAGGGTGGAGGCCCTGGACTGGCCCTCTGAGGGGGCAGGATGCTGGGCACACCTCTGTGCCTAGCGGTGTCCTTTTGGCCTTGGGCGTCTCTTCAGTGGGGGCCCCAGCCTGGCCCCTGCGTCCCATGCAGGGAGAGGTTGAAATGAAGCCTGGAGCCCTGCGGGAAGGGACTGGGGTGTGGAGGGGGCTGGACCTCCGGGTATAGGCCTTCCTTGGGCAGGAGAGGGGGAGACAAATAGGCCAGCCTCCGCTGGCAGAGCAGGCCAGACCCCTCCCTCCCCTGCTGCTGCAGCTCCAGCTTCCCCTCCCCCTGCTCCGCTCAGGCTGACTCCCCTGAGGCTGAGGCTGTGACCCAGAGGGCCTGGAGCTGAGCCAGAAGGGAGGAGAGGCCGCTGGCTCTTCGAGGGAGGAGGGGTGGGAGGGGGTCTGGGGGAGGGGTGGCTCCCCTGGGGTGGCATGGCTCAGACGGGGGAGATCTGAGATCCACTGGAGAGCGGAGCTCGGGGTTCGAGATGATGGCAGGATGTGGATCTGGAAGTTGGAGAGTCTGGAGACCAAGGGGCCTAGGAGCTGGAGGTCTCCCTTGGCCCCTCATCAGCACCAGCTCCCAGGCAGGGAGTCCAGGGTTGGTGGCTCTCTGATCCCTGGCCTCCTCTCCAGGCCTCCCCAGGACATAAGCCTGGAAGAATTTGATGATGAAGACCTGTCCGAGATCACCGATGACTGTGGCCTGGGCCTCAGCTACGACTCAGACCACTGCGAGAAGGTGGGGAAAGGGTTGGATGCACAAAACCTGCCCAAGGGAGAGCCTTGGTTAGGCTCTGCTTGACATTTACTTGGGGTCTTAGGGTGGGTGTGAGCTCAGTCTTGAAACTCAGAGTCCTCTGATTGTCCCCCACATTTGATCCTTGGCCGTGGGGCCTTCTTTGTATCAAACCTCTCTTTTTCTAACACATTGTAGGTCCTCCACTGAGGGCCTTCCCCAGCAGTCCTCCCAGGACCACATCAGCAGGCTGGCCTGGGGAAGGGGAGGTGTGCTTTTGCTTTGGGTGTCCTCTGATCACTTCTCAGAAAGACCTAACCCCTTCTGCATGCCATCTCAACCTTGTCCCCGCCCCAGCCCTGTCCCCACCCCTGCAGTCTTTTCTCCCCCATCTCCTGCTCCTTTTCCTCCCTGTCTCTCCCTGTTTGTTTTCATTCATTCAAGAACATTGAGCAACTGTCTTGTGGCAAGTGCTGAGAGCTTCCAGGTGCTGGGAGCAGAACAGACAGCTGCCCTCAGGAGCTTTCAGCCTAGTAGGGGAGAAAGAGACAATGGCTGTCCCCCTAAGTGTCACAGATTGGAGTCTAGGAGGGACACAAAGTATGATGAGGGGGAAGGGAGCCCAATTCAGACAGGGAATCAGGGGGACGTCCCAAAGGAAATGTCAACTATGCCCTGAGGTTAGTAGGAGCCAGGCAGATGGGGTAGGAGGAGGGAGTGGAGGAGAGGCCCTGCTGGGAAGGGACTGACTGTGCCAAAGGCCTTGAAGTTGGCGCAGACTTGCTAAGTCTTCAGAATGCAGGCTGTCTTCTCATTTATGCATTCACTTGGTATTTGCTAATATCCACTGAGCCCTAGGTCCTGTTCTAGGGCAATACGGACATGACCCTGGCCTGGTGGGGTTTGCAGTCTGGTGGGAGAGAGAGACATACCAAAAGCCATGTACAGTGATTGTGAATTGTGTTAAAATGCTATGAAGGAACCAGTGACGATGTTGAAAGTGATGGGCTTGGGAGTGAAACGAGGCTAGAGGGTGGGTTGTGACCACTCTGAGAATCTCTATCATCCAGCCTTGGGGATTTGGGACCTTCCCAAGGACTGGAGTGATCCCCGTGTGTCTTAAGCAGATTGTTAGAAAAATTGCTGGGAGCGACTCTGGCTTGACTTGCTGCTCCCTGCTGTCCCCTTTCCTGGCACCCGGGAGCCCGGTCACTGTCGCACTCTGGCCCAGCCTTGCATCTTCCTCCTCCTTGCAGGACAGCCTCTCCCTGGGGCGTTCGGAGCAGCCGCACCCCATCTGCTCCTTCCAGGATGACTTCCAGGAGTTTGAGATGATCGATGACAATGAGGATGAGGATGAGGACGAGGAGGAGGAGGACGAGGATGAGGAGGAGGGAGGTGGGGAGGGCGAGGAGGAGGGAGGCCCTGGCTCAGAGGCCCCTGCCCCAGACACGGTCATCCCCTCGCCTTCCCTGGAGGAACCGCACAAGCACCGGCCCACCACGCTCCACCTGACTGCACTGGGAGCCCAGGTGAGTGCCCAGACCACGGCGTCCTCGAGCTGAGCCTGGGCCACAGCACCTGGGACTCTGCACCCCACGGCACCCGGTTTCTGCCCCCACGGGAGGTGGCCCCCCAGTGCTGCTCTCCTTTCGCCCCCTCACAGGACTCGCTGAACAACAACGGAGGCTTCGGCCCGGCGGCCCCAACCTCCTGGCAGGAGACAGTGCTGTGCTCAGTGTCGCAGGAGCCCCTCAGAGGTGAGGGCTTGGGGGGCTTG